GGAGGGAGGGAAGGGCGGCGGCCGCGGGCGGCAGTCCCGCGAGGCACGCCGGCGGAAGGGTTCGTCTTCGCGCGGGGCGGCCGCCCGCCGCAGCTCGCTCTGGTTCCCCACCCGCCGAAGGGCCTCCCGGAGGACAACCACGTCGGCGTCGTCCAGACTGACGCCAAGCACGTCGCAGAGCTCCTCCTCGAGAGTGAGAAGGGGCTGGCAAGGAAGCGGGTGGCCAGCGCGGCGGCAGACGTCGCCTCGCAGCAGGTCGCCTGGCAGCTGCTCGCCTGGCAGCTGCTCGCCTGGCAGCTGCTCGCCTCGCAGCTGCTCGCCTCGCAGCTGCTCCGCTCGTCGAGCTGAAGCAGCAGCGCCAGGAGGGGCCTCCAGGTGCTCGCCGCCCCATCGCGGCGGCCGGCCGGCCGAAATGGAAGAAAAACCTCCGGTCAATCATCGTGTACTCTCCGACGGCGCAGATGGCGCGATCGCGGCCGCCGTCTCGGGCGCGGAACGAAGACGAGACCCCGCCCGTGGACTGGCTCGCCGAGCTGGCGCCGGAGCTGCAGCTGCTCATTCTCGAGGCCGTCGACGACTTCTCGGACTGCGCCGCCGTCAGCCTCGCGACGCCGCGCCTCGGCCTCCTCGCCTTTGGCCATGACCTCGCTCGCTTCAAGGACCCCCTCTTCGCCGTGGCGATGCAGCAGCAGCTCGCCCAGCGCACGAGGTCTAAAGGGGAACAACAGACGCCCGTGACCGAGGCCATCCTGCGCAAATACTCCGCCGACCGGCGGGCGAGGCAGGAGCACTTCCCGTGGCTGGAGCGGGTGAGCCCGGCCCTCTGCCTCTCGACCGGCATTCGAGGTCTGGGCAGCCGCCGCTTCGAGTTCTGGCGGCTGCAGCGCGGCGACGAGCCGGGAGCACTGCTGCGCGAGCGGTCCTTGCAGCGGGGCACGATCTGGCACTTTACGGGCGAGGCGGGCGCGGAGCGGCAGGTGCGCACGGAGTATGCCACCGGCGAGGTGCAGCTCTTCGAGGGCGAGAAGGGCGCCGAGCGGCTGGTACGCACGGACTTTCTCGACGGTGCCGCGGCTACCCGGCCAGCCTCGGCG